GTATGTTTATTTCACTACTGTTACTTGGTGTTCTCATCATAGAATCTAGGCTGAAGCTCTTCTGCTTATACTGGAATTGAGCAGGATTGATATAAGCTATGCCTAAGGCATAGCCACCACCCTCTTACATTCTCATTGAATAAAACCTTGTCTGTCTGGTCCCCCTTCTTATTTTGCAGTGCTTTGATTGTATGCTTTGGGGGTCAGAAACATATATCTTAAAAGTTTGTGTGGAGCATGACAGAATGAAGCCCTGATAGGGCGAGTTCTCAGGACTGGTGATCTATCAGTAGTCAATATCAATCTGAAGAATAAAGATAAGTAAGAGTAAAAAATAGTAAGTTTTAAGGAAGAGGATATGAAATACAAAGATGCTACTTGGCCTGTAGAGTTTGTTGCCAAACATGGGATAAGTAAGAGTAAATAGTAAGTTTTAAGGAAGAGGATATGAAGAACAAAGAGAAGTAAATTGTGGCTTGTATCAAATCTCAAAAGTATATTTTTTTTGAGGTCATTACTTTGATTTGGTGTAATGTCATGTTGTCTTTTTTCATAATCGAGCTTTATGTGTTTTATAGGTAATGTAGATGGATCCAGGTAGATTCATATCTGAGGCTTGGATTTAGACATCTAAAACCTCAGTTTTCTAGCCAGTGTCAGAGCAAGTTTTGTATGAGCTATATTCAGTGCTGTACTGTTCAAATAGGTATTCAGTCAGATCTGGAGCCCACTCAAAGAGGTCATCAATGGTTTTTACTTAGGCTGGCAGCCTGTCACAAGTAGGGTCCCCCAGGGATCAATACTGGACCCTACACTGTTCAACATCTTCATAAATGATCTGGATGATGGGATTGAAAGCACTGTCACCACGTTTGCTGATGACACCAAACTGGGTGGTGAGGTGGACAAGTCAGAAGGGTGAGCCGTCTTAGAGAGACCTGGACAGGCTGGAAGACTGAGTTAGCAAGAACAGTATGAAGTTTTACAAAGACAAATGCAAAGTCCTGCACCTGGGATGGAATAACCAAAGAGCCCAGCACAAGCTAGGATCTGCGTGGCTGGGGAGCAGCCTTGCTGAAAGGGATCTGGGGGGTCCTGGTGGACAACAAGCTGAACATGAGTCAGCAGTGTGCCGCTGCAGCAACGAAGGCAAATCGGATCCTGGACTGCATCCGCAGGGGCGTTACTAGCCGACATAAAGATTTGATCATCCCACTCTACCCACTGCTTGTCAGGCTGCACCTGGAGTGCTGTGTCCAGTTCTGGTCCCCACAATTCAAGAAAGATGTGGACAGACTGGAGAGGGTCCAAAGCGGGGCCACGAAGATGATCGAAGGGCTGGAGAACCTGTCCTGTGAGGAAAGACTGAAGGAGTTCAGGTGGTTCTCCCTGGAGAAGAGAATGCTCAGGGGGAAACCTCATCGCAGGATTCTAGTACTTAAAGGGTGGCTACAAAGAGGATGGAGGCTCTCCCTTCACAAGGAGCCATGTGGAAAAAGACAAGGGGCAATGGATACAAGTTGCACCGGGAGAGGTTTCGTCTCAATATAAGAAAGAATTTCTTACAGTGAGAGCAATCATTCACTGGAACAGCTTCCCAAGGGATGCGGTAGAGTCCCCATCACTGGAGGTTTTCAAGATGCAACTGGATAAAGTGCTTGATAATCTCATCTAGGCTCCCTTTCCCACAGAAGGTTGGACCAGATGATCTTTTGAGGTACCTTCCAACCTGGGCCGTTCTATGATTCTGTGATTATTTCTATGATTAAATTGTTCTTGGACCTTGCATTCTAATGAGAGTCAATCTTTCTTCCTCTTCTCTCTGTCCTGTGCCTTTCTAGGTAGTGACTACCTCAACATGGATCAGCATTGCTACAGTTCCTACCCATGAAGTCAGCGTGCAACACATGGCCAGCCCAGGAGGACTGTAGTCAGTCTAATGTTTTTTCTGGGTCGAAGTGAAAAGACTTTTGAATCAGTAGCCTAGCCTGAGTGGTACTGACAGTGGGTCTGGTGCATTGCCCAGTCATTTAACTTCATCTCCTAGCCATAACTTTCTTTGAAATAACAACAGTTCTTTTTCATAAATGAAGCTGTAAAGAACAAAGTGAAGAAAAGTAGAAATAAATTTCAGAATAAAACAAACCAGGGAGTGCAATCCAGACAGCAACATCTACAAATGACTGGGTTTCTTTCCCACTAGATCTGGAGATCAATTTCAATTCTCCATCTTAAGTCCCAGTTTTCATAGATCTGTTTAGAATACTGATACTATGCCATGAACTGTGGCAACGCTGGAAAACTTAAAAAAGGGCTGCGCATTCTACTAGAAGCTGTGTAATCTGGCTCTGTTCCAATACAAGTCTTGTTAGTTGTCCTGAGACACACAGTTAGAAACATGTTTGTCTTGATTACTTGAAATATAGTTCACTAATTAGTTGAAGTCAGTTCTGGTTTGGCAGTGAGAAATGGCTTTTTGAGATACATTCATTTGATTCAAAGCATGGGAGGTAGCTTAGCTATTCACTTCAGGTACAAAAACAGAGTTATCTAGGCTTTACTGATTAAAGGAAACTTAATCTATATGTTGAATCTTTTTACACGCAGTAAATTACTGCTGTATGGAAAGAAATCTTACATCATCCCTCATAGGTACACTATCCAGTACTGCAGGCTGAGCAGACCCAGGAATTTATTTTAATTGTTAATGGTAGGTTTAATGGTTAATGGTAGGTTCTCACAAGCTGGAAATGCCAGGAAATAATTGATGTCTCAGTTCATGGGAGTGTTTATCATTTAGATGGCCCTCACACAAACTATAAAGAGTCTAAACACTAATGCTGGAAAGACCAACTTCAATCAGTAGTTAATGCTAGTCTATACTTAGCTCTTCCCTGTGTTTCCCATGAGTGCAATTTCACAGTGATAGCAGCAGGAATCAGCACTGCTGATGGCAAGGCACTGGAAATCTTTTTTTAATTTGAAATCAGAATACAATATTATTTGTAGAAAGTCTTAAATGACAGAAATAACTATAGCATTTTAGCTGTACTTGGACTTGCTTTAGTATATATAGTACTGAATTGGTGCTAGTGCTGCTATGGGGAAGTGGCTAAAGAATATGGCACTGTTCTACATTGGTTCATGAAGTGCTCTAAAAAGTCTGTATGCAATGGATATGGATGTCGTCATTGCTAGTAGTTGGATTTGAAATGGTCTTTATGATCTGCTTCCATTAAAATAAAACCAGGGGCTAATCTTAATGTCTGGTTATTGGTGAGATAAGATGCTTCATGTTCTGGGGACTACAATATTGTTTGGCTGCTGTGATTGATTGGGTATTTTATATATTAGATAATAATTATATACAGAAAGGTAATATAAATATAGCAAGTATATTGGCTGGTTTAATGTCCTGATCCTGCACTAAGCTATCTCACTGTCTAGGTCACTCCTTTGTGCTTGTATAGGAAATCATCAAGGATTTGAGGAAACTAATGCTTTTAATCAGCACTTAACTTCACTTACATGTAAAAAGCCCTCTCAGAGTAATTCACTGAACCTGTTGGCTCTAAGATATTTTGAAGCCCTGTCTGTGTGCCTGGTACTCATGCTGATAATGGGCAGTCCCAGGGCCGAAGGAATTTATAACTTTATAGAGGATATACGTCTCCTCTGTAGGAAACCATGCGTTTTACAGTTTAGCTGTATCCACTTCCATCTAGAAGAGAGCTGGGACACCATCAGGTCTCAGTGCATCTTGTAGTGTTCCTTCTGTCCTCTTCAACTTTTTTTCTCCCATTCCTGAAGGTACTGCAGTTGCCACGTCTTTGTTTTCCTTTCTAGCTGTGTGACTGGCTCACTGCAGCTATACCATGAGGGCCATGGCTTCCACCTTTGGGAAATTGTTATGCTCCAGAGTTTGTTTACTGCAGATTTGATGATCCACAAAGATTTAGGAAATAATGTTTTTTATAGTACTGCATATAGCAGCACCTACGTTCTTCTTTCCTGTAAGTAACAATGACGTCTGGAATCTGCTGAGACAGCTCATGAGTCCCAACAAGCCCTGCGTGAGAACTGGGGACAGGCAGCATGCATGCAAGATCTGGCCATTAGCAATCTATAGGCTGTGACCGCTGTTATCAAGGAACCGGTCCGGTTTCATTGCTGCCACCTACTGAAACTAGAGCTTTCCACCTCATTGAGCAGACTAGTGGGAAGCATAGCTTTGCAGATGAGAACTGAAATGCCACATCACTAAAAATAATCAGAAATGCCCCCCACCCCCTTTAAATGAAGACTTCCAAAATGTATGTTTGTTTACTTTGTTACTTAAAGTTCAGCTTCCTGTGCAGCTTTACTGGTCCTAACTAATACTCTTTCTGTAGCTATTAATTCTTTCCCTGCTGATTTTTTTTTTTTTAATATGTCTCTGATACAGCTCTGCCTGGTATCTTCTGTTTTCTGAGCAGTAACTCATGAATTTATTTAGCTTTTCTGTGTTGTCTTTAATACAAAAAAGTTATACTCTTTCTTTGTGATAATGGAAACAGCTGTATGTACTTCAGAAAACCCTTATCATGATTTAATATTTTTGGGGGAAGAGTGTCTTATTTTAAATAATCTTTAGTTGCTTGGTGACTTTGCTTGACAAGCTCTTGCTTGCTAAACTTGATTTGAAAAATGTTTATTACAAAAACACCCCAAACTATTTTCTAGCACTGGTTAAATGCATTTGAAATTGCAGGGTTCTCTACACGCTTCTGGTCAGAAGGCAAAACATATTTATTCCTATAACTAATTTAGCAAGTACTCATAGAATAAAAAAAACCACAGTCTACTTTGATATCCTATATATAGGACTGACTGGGCAGCAATGAAATATGAGAACTTGTACGGTGGTCTTAATGACCAACTCTTTTTTTTTTCTTTTTTTTCTCTAAGGTTTGTATGATTTTACACTTGTTTAAAAAAAAATGTCTTTTCCCCTTCCCCTCTTAAAGGTAGAGACCTGTGGGTTCTTGTTCTGGGAAGGTTTCCAACCCACCATAAGATTGGCATTCCAGAGTTCAAGTATGTTGCTAATATGCATGGGGATGAGGTACGTTTCAACTTTTGTAATGTCATTTTTACCAAATACACTTACCAGAGGTTTAGAGTGAACTTCTCTCAGGTGTGTGCTACTCATTATTAAGGTATATCATACCTCAAAGAAGTCCTAATATGTGTGTGTTTCTTGAGGAATTTCAAGAGTAAAGTTCCCTTGTTTTGGTGGAAGGGCTTTAGGAGACCTTACATCACGGTGAAGAATCCTACACCTAAGACTGCTCTTAAGTAGAGAGCTTTGTCTTCTCCATGTGGATAAACCCAGAGGCTTTAACTTTCCTGGCAATGAGTCAGATGCAGTAGTTTGCTTGTATGTTGTTATTGCCTAGGCATGAAGTATGACTGATAGAACTCTTCAAATACATCCTAAGACTGAATAATAATTCCTGTGAAGCACCAAATCATTTGTTTTAGAAAGAAAATTTCTCTTGGGAACCTTAAGCTAGGAATACCTAGATTCACCTGAGATAACACAGGGAGTACAAAACAAAAAGCAATGTCAGGCTTAACTGGCTGTGGAAAGAATGCCCGCTTATTAACAATAAAGGGAAAAATGGTGATTGTGAGCCTTCCTGGTGTAGTACATGAATCTGGAACGGAAAGCCTCAAAGCTTCACTCTTCTCTCTGATCTTTTCTTGCTTTCTATTTCCCTTATTCTTTAGTTTTACCTGCTTTTATTAGTCATGTTCAGGATAAGTTTAAACTACACAATATATTTCTATGTAGTCTTTAAGGTGAAGGGTAAATAATTCAACAGAGAAATGGCAAAATTTATATTTTTCACATATATACGCTAGACTGTGAATTCCCAAAACTAAGAAAAATAGATCTAGTAGGAAGTGTATCCTGTGTAAAGCATAACATATCACAAGCTATTGCTATTACCAATACTGTGTGTGAGCACTTAGAATCATTATCATTAAGGCACTTGCACGCCTACAGGCACTTGTGACATTATGTGCCAAGAATTTTCCCCAAGTTAGACTAGTTTCACCTTGTTTGACAGTGGCTGTGCTCAAAGGGCTGCTGGGAATCTGACTGCTTTGGAATTTAACTCTGTGTGGGAGGAAGCTGATTCATGGTTTCAAATGGGTACATGCGTTACTGGATGCCCAAGATAGGGTTTGCAACTCCTAAAACCTGGTGCGTATCAGCAGGGTAGTCCAGGGTGCCTAGGAACTGAGGCTCTGTGTGACAATCCCTGCAGACTTTTGGACAATCCCTGATTTTTTTGCAGACAATCCCTTATGGGAATTGCAAACCTATGGCTACAGATGACCCAGCTTTGGTGGGAAAGAGATGGAGGGCAGGATATGATCTCATCCAGAATGGCCTGGCTCTCAAATCCAGTGTTGCTGGACTGCAGAAGGCCACTCCTCCTATCGAAACCTCCACAGTGAAGCACTCCTGCCGCTATCACTGCCCAGCTGGATATGCACAAGGAACTTTGACCATGGAGACACATGCTGTTTGCGTATCCACAGGGTCAAGAATTGCTGGAGATCAGGCAACCTGGATCACTGCCTAGGATCTAAATTTTTATACTGACTTTAAGGAAGTGAGGCAAGACTTTTTTTTTTTTTTTAAAGTATTTGGCACTGTGTCTGAGTTTGTCTGAGCAGGGTTGATCCTAAGCTGCCTAGGTACTGTATAGCGCTAAGTGCCATGCTACATTCTAGCTTGTTCATTAGACCAAGCATGCACCTAGGGAAGATTCTGGAAGTAGAGCTATTCCTCCTTTTCAGGCCCTCATGATGATCTTATCCATACTCACAAAAACATAAGGCAATAACGCACAGTTGGTGTTTTGTTTTTCGTATCTGACCATAAATGTATTTCAGATGGCAGGAAATGAATTCCTCATATAGAGAAGCGTTGGAGAACTTTAATATTTTTTCCCATAATCTAAGATTCTGCTGGACTAGTCACTGGGGAAAGATTCAACTACCCCTATAATATATTAAGCAGATAAGTTTTGCACTAACTGTATGACAAGCTTCAGCTTGTGTTCCAGTCTTTCATAACTTAAAATTGCAGGATTATGGCTTCATTGATCTAATTAGGTCTTTTGTGCTTCAGTGATGCTTTCCATAAATGGTACAAAGTAAGAAAAGTTCTGTTCTCAAGTATTGTTTGGTGATGCTGCCCTTCTAACCTGTCATGATCACGCAAATGACATTTTGGCCGGCTGCTCCTAAAACCTAAAAGTTGGGGGGGAGCCTGAATTGCATGTGTACAGGCTGTTCACACATGCTGCTGGAAGAAAACCTAGGTTATTTGGAGAGCTGCCCAACAGGGAAGTTCTAATAAAATAATGTGAGTACACAATATAGGAAGAGATTATTTTTTTTTTCAGAACTGGAAAGATTTATTTTTTTTAAGTAGGTTCATTTTTCTTAATATTGTAAGACATGACCAGCCAAGGTTTAAATGACCTTATTTTGTGATCACCGTTGCCAAATAGAGTGAACTTTTGCCCCAGATCCCCAGAGATGCAACAAAAGACTTCTCCCATTCTTTCTGTGCCTGTATGAAGTTGGCCATTTTTAGCAGCACTTTTTGTTTAACCCGAGCCAGATTAAAACTGATAATTAGTTCAGTCACTTGCAGCTATGTAATCAAAATGGCACTAATAGACTGCACAAAATGGACAAGCCTGTGAAATGTTAATAAAGTCTGCACTGAGGAAGATGAGGGAGAGGCTTCCTGCTGTTCCAGGGCAGCTCTCATTCTGAATTCGGCAGCAGCCTCTCTTGTCCCAGGCTTGTAGTCTTACTTGAAAGATCGTCTCTTCCTCAGTGTGTACACTCACACGTACCTCTCTGGGGAAAAACTCATTCCACTTGACATCGACGACAACCAAACCCCCAAACACTCCTAAGTCATAAATGGAGCAGAACTATCACCTTTTGACCAGCTGTACCAGTGACTTGAATCCAATCTACACAACTGAACCACAGGATCTAATTAGAAGGCTGTTCCTAAACCATGTGTATCGCAGCAGGAAAACGCTTTAAGGAAAAGCATGTCTGAACAAGGTGTAAACTACCTGTGCATTTCTGCTTGTCCCCTTTAATATATTAAGTATATGGCTTCCTTAACTTTCTATAGCTATAGTGTAACTGGGCCATCACAAATAAACTCTTTTCCAGGATGGTAATGCTGATACCAACCCTTTTCTCCTAAATCATCCGCTTCTGATCACTTTCTTTTCTTAGTGTAATAGTATTTTGCCTCTTTCATTATGTGAAGCTGAGCCTATACTGATAGGCCTGAGCTAGCCTATGTGAAAGGATGTGTTTGTTTTGCTGGCTTATCTTGTGATTTAAGTTAAAGCAACTAGACCCTATTTTCCATGTCATCATAGACGTGGTCATATCCACAGAAGGGTTTCCTGAGATATGGTCACTTATTAGGCATTGGGTGACTGAGGACTGGGGTAGATTTATTTGTGATCAGTATAACTGGGGATTAAAAACAAACAACAAACTAATGAGTCTTGTGTAGAATTTCTCACTCTCATTTCCAAAAAATGAATGGAAGCTGCATTTACACTATCAAAATGCCACTATAAAAAAAGGCTTGCTTTTTTTTTTGTCACCAGGTTGGGCAAGAAGAGTTGTGTCCACATACAGTACAATCTGCTATAAGGAATTTTCAGCACATATTCCTATGTCCTTTGTTCTGTGCAATATAGTATGGAAGTGGTGTGGCAGGGAAACAAATATGTGCTCTAGAAAAAATAATAAAGAAAAGAAATATTTCTTGCCTAGTGAACTGTTTTCCACCTGGCTTCAGTATCAGCTGATGTGATGTAAAAAAGGTCAGAAGCACCAGAGATTTAAAAATTCAAAGCAACCAAATCTATTTGCTAACCTCAGACTTTAAAAAAAGCTGGATGCTGCTGAGATCTCTTTCAACACAGGTAGGGCTGCTGCCTCGCCCCAGTTACCTTTTTCCTTATCTTTACTCCCACTCTTCTGAGTGGGAAAAGGAAAAGTGATCCATTTCTCAGCCAGGTGAAGCTTAGACTGAGAAGAAGCCTGAAGGCTGTGGAATTTGTCCAGGTGGTAACATCTTATGCTGGTTACTAGTTCAAAAGCAGCCTTTATGTTGCCATTTCCTTCAGTGATAAACCAAGGAACTGCAACTCCCTGTCATACATGTGGTAGTTCTCGTATTTCCATAGTGATTACTGCTATAGAAGTAAATGGGTATGTGCCAAACTGTATTTGCAGAAACAGTCGCTTTAACACTGGTAAAGAAGGACAAACACAGTGGGGTGTGTCGCAGCCGTGCATAATAATTAGTGCTGTACGGGCGTTAAAGAACGTCTTGTAAGTGTGGCATTTAAGTGGTAAACCAGGATGGACTATTGGTTTCTCTGCTGTAACTCTGCTTCCTTAGGTGGGGTTGTGCCTGGTGTGCTGCGCTAGGTCTGTAGAGCAGTCAGGGCTGGCGCAAGGAGACTGGCAAGACCATGTTGCTCTGAAACAGGTCCTACCTGATGGTTTGGATCTTTCTTTCAACATCGTTCAACTTAAAAAACAGGCCACATTTAAGGAAAGAATTTTAATCATAAAAATGGGCAGACTCTATCCACACATGGTCCCCTGGTGTTGGGTCTTTATCATGGGGTAACAAAAATGTTTTAAGAACAGGGGTGCTGCAGTAAAACGTTACAGTGCAGGTGCACTTGGAGCTAACCTTAATCTCTTAACTGGCTGCTACTAGGGCTTCTTGAGTAAGTCCTTCAGTAGCTGAGCAGGGTGCTGGCCCAGCCACACCAGAAGCGATAGTCAGCAAGTTTAAGGGGTATGTCTACAGAAATGGCAGTCACACCCTTTTCTACAGTGTTTATCCATGCCCTGACACATGCATGCTTCTTCATTCAGGACTTCCCCTGAGGATCACTGGAAGCCTTTCCTGCTGACTTCTTTTGGGGCACGCAAGGAAACTGACAGCTGAAAGTGCATAGAGAAACTTAATGTCTGTGTCCCTAGAGGTGGGAGAAAGGGTTTTCCGTTGCTTTTGTGTCACCCCTCATCTGAGCTACAGCAAAACAATGCACCTGGGCATCGCCCTCGGGATACTGCAATTAAAACCAAATATTCATCATGTCTTCTCAAAGCCCCAGAGCACAGAAAGGCTGTCCCCTGCTCTCTACATCTTTGTGTTAGACTAGAGGCAGGTTAAGGTGTCTGTCCTTGACTTTACTGTCAGCAACCTACCTCCACTGTGTCTAGATCCTTTATTTGAATCTCTAAAGTAAAAATAAATGTCTCGTAAACTTTTCTCCACAGGTAGAGTTGACCTCTCTAGTAACAGGGTAAAGCTTGGCTGGGCAGGAGATGACTTCCAAGGGCTAGATCAAAACTTGAGCTATACTTTCCCAGAAACAAAAACTTTCCCTTTTCTTCCCCTCAAACACCTCCAGATGTGCTTTCTCAAGAAATGCAAGGTGCTCTGGATGAAAATAAAACCAACCTTCTGTCACTCCACCAAAACAGAGTGGTAATAAATACATTCTTCCCCCACTGGGGAATGATCTAAGTACCAGCCCTCTGTGATAGAGATTAGCCAAATTGTTTAGTGTTCTAAGTACTGCGGTACAGCAGTAGCTATACAAGGAATCCTATAAAATAGGGTTAGTTTTTTAAAATACCATATATGTAAGTAAGTGGGTTTAACTCTTAAGTGCAAAGAATGTCATCCATGAAAAACTGGTCATCTTCCATTCTTTATAAGCATTGTCCTTTTACACCACCTTCTCTTGTTGCTTTTCTTTATCTTTTTCCCACTCCTGTTCCTGCTTCTCTACCCTTTCTTTTCTGGATGTCTTTTTGTCAGGCACTGAAGAGAAGTACGGTAGGGGCAGAGGCACTTTCCTAGTTCCTCCAGAGAGCAGTCCAGTCTTGTCTGTAGTTTAGCTATCTCTGTGGTAGGGCTGTTCTTGTTGCTTCTGAGTCTGCTAGCTTTATCTCTCATGCCCAGGGCCATGATTTGACTGACTTCTCTCCCCTCCTTTCCCCCCTCCCAGCTCTGTATGGTTCCCAAGATGTCTATCACCCAGAGCTGGAACTGAGCTGCCTGTACAAGACAGGTTCTGTTGCATCACTTCTTAAATTTCACAGAGTAAATTTATCAAACCTGCAGAGCAGTCTGCTTTCATGTACTCAGGTGCTGTTTTGAAAGCTACTGGCAATGGAGGAAATTAGGTGACTTTTCTCCCCTTGTGAAAGCCCATTTGCTGTAGCATCTAGAAGAAGAACCATTTAGTTATCGGGACAGTAAACGCATTCGTGTAACGCAGCTTCCCCTAGTGGATTACTAGATGGTGGCTTGCAGGAGACCATCAGGACCTGACAGGCAAGGGTTAGAAAACTTGGGAACAAATCTGCTGGGGGGCAGGTGGGAAGAGGTCCTTCTTTTTCCCTGTACAAAGAGCATGGCAGAATTGCTCAAGTACCAACTCGGAGACCATGGCTGTCTTCAAGTATGACACTTAAAATGGTGTGATCCGCAACTTAGCGGAGTCATGTTTGGCACTACATTGTTTGTTTGTTTCTCCTGCGATAAACAGCAATTGCTGGCTAACTGGCAAGATATGGTTTGTTCCCAACCTGAACAGCAGTTACACCCAGCCCTCCTTGCCCCGTCGTGTACCAACCCAGCTCCTGCTGGATGGTGTCTGTGTTCCTGTTTACCTCAACACCCAGAGCAGGATTTGCCACTTAAAATGCACCAATGTGAAAATTTAACAAGATACTATTGCAGCAAATAGCTGTGGAGAAATATTCCTTTTCCCCTGCCCGATTTCACCTACCTTTTACCTTAGCCTGTACCAGTCTGAAAGCAAGCTGATGTTTATCTGTGATACCAGGTTCATCCAGTAATGTCACTCCATGTTCCTCACTTCAGACAAAAAAGAAAAACTCTTTGCAGTATTTCCACCTTAGTGATGCAAGACTCATTCTAAAAGATACTTAGGTGCTGTAGCTCTGAACTGGAGCCTGCAGTGATTTACCAGGCTTTGTTCTTGGAGATAAAGTAGAGATAAATTATCTCTTGCAAGTCTTGATTTGTTCCCATCCCAGCCAGGGCTTAGGAACCCTACAACACCCTTGAGGTACGGATCACAGTGCTATAGAAAGTACTCCTGTAAAGTATGGTCCAGTGAACACTGTCCTAGTGGTTTCTGGGGTAGAACAGGACTGTTCTTAACTCACTGGATCTGGAACTTGCCACTGTTTTGCCTGAAATCTGATAGAGTAGACCGAAGGGAGATGTCCTGCCAGCTTTCACGAACTATAGAAACTTAAATGAACAAAAATACGCATTTAGCTTTTTCTCTGCCACTGCCTTTCCTTGATCCAAAGTCTGCATCCAAATGTCCTTCCATCTCTTTGCCTAAGGATTTATATATACCTGTTTGGTTTCCCCAATGCTTCTGTTCATGGCATTAAAATAAAGCAACGTAACAGAGAATATAACAGAAGCATCTATGGGGCCTCTCTTGATCCTGTATTAAAGTTGACTTCCCATGAAAGGGCATCAACAAGAAAAAAATCCTGCTCTGTAGCACCCTGGAAAACATGGAAGGTGTCTCCTTCCTTTCTTCTGAACCATCACTGCCAAGTGGTGATGCACAGCACTGATGCTTATGTGCAGGGCCCGGGGTCCCTCGGGCATCCATGCAGGATTTAAGCAGTGCAGCTGACACAGTTTCCCATTACAGAAAAAGCTCTGGTTGATTGAGGTTTAAAACCCTTGTGACAACCCTCCAGTGACTCCTTTTATGTATTAAATTACTTTAAATACATTTAGGGGAGAACATAAAACAAAACGGTGTTGACCAGAATGCTCTTGTATGCCTTTTATGTGTCTGTAATCCAGTAAGAAAAATCTGTAAGTGCAACGTGGTGGGTCTTTTTTTTTTTTTTTTCTTCTTCGTTTTCTGTAGCAGACTTAAAATAAAATCTATGCTGCTTTATACAGACTGTTGGGAGAGAAATCCTGCTCCATTTGATAGAATTCCTGGTGACCAGCTATAGACGTGACCCAATTATTACCCGGTTACTCAATAATACCCGGATTCATATCATGCCAACAATGAATCCTGATGGATTTGAAGCTACAAAAGTACCTGATTGTTATTACACACGAGGAAGGTAAGGGTGGCTTAGGAGGGTGGGAGTAGGTAAAGAAAATGGGTGGGGAGTAATAATCGGAGATAACCAAGAGACTGAATCATACTTGGTGGAGAGGATAGCCTAGAGGATGTGTTAGGGCTAATTTTGGCTGGTGCTGTTCTGAAGACGCACTGTTACAGCATAGAGTTTTTGGAAGACTGAGTCAGACTGGTGTTTATACGTGGTGTGGCTAGAGGAAATTGCTCAGAATGGTGTAATGACCTGACCTAACCTTTCAGGCAGGACACCCAGGCTGCAAATAGAAGCACAATAACCTATTTAAACCTTTAGGTTGCTACAAAAAAAAAGAAGGAAAACTCCAGCCACAGGGATCTATTTCAATTGGAGAACTCTGTAACCCTCTTAATGAGAAAAAGGTGTGTCTAAGCTTGTTGAATGAACTTCTAGAAATGTGTTTAAAGATCATGTCGAATGCAGATCTAGTAAGAGGGAGGAGTTAGGCAAGCAGAGCTAGCTACAATAGGTGCTGTGCTAACAGTAGTGCTAGGAAAAAAACTTACGCATTGCATCCTGTGCTACTTTTGCATTCTTTAATGTAACTATTGCAGAGACCAAAAAGGGGAGGAAAAGTTTAACAAGCTAGAAGAGGGAAGAAGAAGAGAGAGTGAGAGAATGGGAAGAAATGCCAAAGGGACAAAGTTGGAATGTGCAGAAAAAGCAAACTCATGTGCTAGAAGTTCTCTTGGATCACTGGCCATGGCAACGTCGGAAGCAAGTGAAAAGGTAGTTTAGGTAGTTTAGTTCTCTAGGTGACCGGTGTAGGCCCTCCTTTTTATTAGGAAAGAAATTTACTCCTCAGCAAATTGATAGGACTTTTATGGAGGGTGGGATATTTAATCCCTTCACTGTCAAATAGACAGAGTTTAACTGAGTTTAAAAATCAATACAGCTGATGCTAAATACCCTCTCTACTCTCTGCACTGACCTGTGTGAGTGAAAAAGGAAGAAAACATTTGCACAGGCTGGACCTTCAGGTACAGAGGGAAGAGAATAATACATCCCGTGTTTGAGTCAAATTTTTTGCTCTATGTCCAGAGTGACAGCAGTACAGGGGACACAGCCACCCAGTAGTTACCTTGGTCTTCTATACAAGAGTGAAAAACACGTACAGAAGGACAACAGCCTCCTTATCTAGCTTAGGGTTTTCTAATTCACGTATGAGTAGGTGTGAGCATGCCATATGCATATTAAATATTATTCGCTGTTTCCACCTGAAATATAATAGAAGAATTGTTTTCTTGTGTCCTATGAAAATTCCAGTGCTGCCAGAAAGCAAACGAAAGTCCATCTTCTTCATGCTTGAGATTTGCAATGGTCATCTTGCGTGTCTCCTGAAGACACTAGCATGCCACAGACCTTAAGTACTGGGAGGCTGGCGACGTGGAAGCGCCTATAGGCAAAACGGTAATGGGAATGTCTTCTCTCTTTCTAAGGTACAATAAGAACGGAGAAGATCTGAACAGAAATTTTCCTGATGCCTTTGAAAATAACAACGCTAGCATTCAGCCAGAGACTCAAGCAGTAATGAACTGGATAAAAAATGAAACGTTTGTTCTTTCGGCAAACTTGCACGGGGGTGCCCTGGTTGCCAGTTACACCTTTGATAATGGTAACTCAGGTAAGCTAGTAACAAACTCTTTTCTCCACAGCTGAATTGGTTTAGGATCATTAGCTGTACCAAAGCAAAATTTGTAAGGATTTCTGCAAGGTTTTTCCAGCTTTTGAGCTGGGATGGGCAGACTTTGATAAACCCCATCAAAATTCACTGCCTGATACGGCTATTTGGGAGATGTTTATCCTGTATGTAAGCCAGCACTGTATGTTTTACCAGTAATGAGAGTTACACGATGGCTATCTTTATTCTGCAGTTACCGGCTCTTTGAAAGGCTATAGCAGGTCTCCAGATGACGATGTCTTTATTCATCTGGCAAAAACCTATTCTTTCAACCATGCCATCATGTACAAAGGGACTGGGTGTGACAACAGACAACCCTTTCCAGAAGGCATCACCAACGGGTATTCTTGGTACCAGCTGGAAGGTAAGAATGTCAGTGATATTTTTTTTCAGCTGCTTCAGATACGATGTTCTCACTTTCTCCTGCCATCTTTGATGACAAAAGGGCTGTGATTTTGCCCAGAGTAGAGGGTTGATGAGGGGAACAAGCCAACGCATTCACGCGGATTCTCTGAGCAGGACGTGGGTGTTTGCAGGCTCTCCCGATCAGCAGTTACACAAGTGAATGAGGCAGTCTCTGCCGTCTGGCTGCTTCTGTGCCCTTTCTTAAGGCCTGCATAGCTGTATAGATTACGCACACACACTGGTGTGGCACCAAGGTCGTGTCCTTTCAGAAAGAAAACCAATCTTCTGCTCGTATATCATCCTTTTTTTGTAACGTTTGATTACTGAAATAAATGTTTTCATTACTGTTTATGTGTAGCCAAATAGAATATGGGTCGTGTGTACTGTGGCACTGCGTGTTGTTTTCACAGTCGGAATTCAAAGCCTTAAAAGGCTCTTAGGGTGGCTTTGGCAGTGGCAAACTCTGTGCCAGCCTGTGAATTTATCTGCCCCTATTTAGTTGGGAGTGCTCGAATGAATTTAAGTCAAAGACCCACCCTTCCTCAGCCATAATAATCATCATTCCCGAAATGCCACTGTGCTTTAGAAAACACCGCTCTATATGTAACTAGAGTAATCAAGTTGGTTTTCCACAGGAGGTAGTAAATACAAGTGTGACATTGAGGAATGGTTTATCTGATTTACTTTTCTTGCAGGTGTGATGCAAGTACCAACACTTTAACTCTCCTGTTTTTCTTCTAGCTTGAACTTGGTCCTTCTTTGCAGCTGAACACTGTTTGTTTTATTTCACTTTTAAGGTGGAATGCAAGATTACAACTATGTCTGGGGACAATGTTTTGAAATTACATTGGAGCTGTCATGCTGTAAATATCCTCCAGCAGACCAGCTGGAAAAGTTCTGGAGAGACAACAAAGTTGCTCTGATCGAATATATAAAACAAGTACATCTAGGTGGGTACGCGAATGGGGAAGGGAGCTAAAGCTGAGGCCAGGCCGGTGGGCAAAGCGGGAACCCTTCAGCAGCCTGGGCCAGTGTCAGAGCTCACAGGTGAGGAGCTCTGGCGTGGACTTGGGAGCTATGGCTTCTCAATAGCAAGTGCTGCAAGGCCAGGGATGGGTGAGGGAGGAGAGCTTACAGGTGTGTCAGGTGTGAGGCGATGGGCACTACTACAGTGGTGCAAGGGCCTTAAAATGCACTGGGGCAGGAGCAAGGGACAGGCCCCTGGGGGCTGGGGCAGGAGCAAGGGGCAGGAGCAAGGGACAGGCCCCTGGGGCCGTCTTACCATACACCCCGCTCAGGGAGTCTGCTTTCCTGAGCAGCCTCGGGGCGGTCGTTTATTCCAGAGGCCTCTAAATGTGTGCGCGCGTGTGCATGTGGACGGTGTTTCACGGGTCTCTGCTGCTTGGATTCGGTATTTTTGTAAGGCTTTTCTAGGTGTGATCTTGACCTCACAGTTGGAAGAGAGCTGCGGCTTAGTGAAGCAGCGGTACTTTACAATGAGTTGAAGGGTTTGCATAAATCTGTTGCTTATCTTGCATTTTGTTGCCCAGAATGTCTGACTGCCGTTTTATCTTTGCTTAATCCCAGTGCTGCCTTGAAGGTGGTGTGTGAGAATTTAGGGAAACTACTTCATAAGCAGACACTGTTGGTATTTTGCCATTGGGAAGTACTAGATAAGAGGCTGACTTATTTTAAATAAAAAAAAAGAAAAGGCAAAAAACCCCCAAACCAGTACTGAAGATTGAAGCCCTTCAGTAAAAGACATGTACAATAAGTATACATGGTGTTTTCAACAAAAGAGATTTAGAAGCAGAGATTACAACGCTGCTTTCTGACTTAATATGAGGGTAAACTATTAATAACAACAACACAGGATTTTCTATTTTAATTCCCTTCAGTAAGATAGAAGCGACTAGTGATACTAGATGTGCTCGAAATCACTGAAATAGCCTTAGAGTGCCTCCAGCAACAAACAGTCTGACTTTCCCAGAGAAGGAGGCTCACCGCAGTTACAGGTTGTGATCTTTCTCTCCTCTCCCTTTTTCATAGGTGTCAAGGGTCAAGTTACTGATAAGAATGGGAATCCTATTCCCAATGCCATCGTGGAAGCCAAAGGAAGGCGTCACATCTGCCCCTACAGAACAAACGAACAAGGGGAGTACTTTCTTCTCCTTTTGCCTGGGACGTACGTGATCAATGTAAGTGTGCGGCCTCACCAAATTATTGTTTCTAATTGCATTGAGTTCCTGAGCACAGTGAGACTGCATCCCTACAGACGAACGAGCTGAACTTGCTCAGGTCATATACAGGAGCTGTAAAGACTCTTTAGCAGAATTAAATGAAAATAATATCTTAAAACATGAGTCAGCAGAAAGGAAATTTTTTGATACAGTAAGATCTCAAGTCCCCAGAACTTCTAGAGATAAGCACTCATCTGACCTGGATGGTGGAGCCAGCTGGGATGAGCATCCGGACCACGGTGACACTAGCCTGAGGTGTCTGAAACAAACCGCAGAGCTCTTGAAGGGCGAGGAGGTGGAGGCTGGGATCCACGTAGCCCCAGGCAGCGACGGGCTGACGCCGCCATCAGTTGACAGTTATTTCCTTGGGTCAAAATGACTTCTCTGCGGAGGTTGTCTGGTATTAGAGAACATCCATGCAGCATAAGCCCTTGGCTGGCAGCAGGCAGGGCCTACGCTTAAGCGTAACTGCAGGATTCCCTCTCCTGTACAGCATGTGGTGCACCCCTGTTATAAATAAATATTCTGTTTTCATCTCAGGGTTTTTTGGGGTTTAGTCTTATTGCTGTAATGTGAAAAACTTTACTCTTTTCTCATTCCGTGTTCTCAAACTTACGTTTAGAACGCTTTTCCTATACATTGAAAGTGTAAATAAGCATGTTTGTTAGATAATGATTGTTTCACAGCTGAACTCAACGCCAAGTAAATCTTTCATGTTTGCTCCTAGGCTACTGTACCCTGTACCAAACCGATGCTGCTCAACGCTTCAGGCCAAGTAAATCTTTCATGTTTGCTCCTAGGCTACTGTACCGGGATTTAAACCGATGCTGAAGACAGTGGAAATACACGACAATACCGGTAACTTCAGTGCTTTGAAACACGACTTCTCTTTCTCAGAAGTCTCTATCAGATCGCGAGCTGCTTCGTGTCCCAAAACTCCCCTCTACCAAGAGCTCGAACGGGCTTCAGCTGCAGTAAAACCAACTCTACACGTCTTGGTTTTAATGACCGTTATGCTTGTAATTTTCAAATAAAGTCAGGAATGACATGACAGGGCGAGGCAAAATCTTCCTGCACAAATGTGGCTTTTCAGACAAGGAATTGTATAAGAACATACATTCTTTCGCATATACACCAAATTCTCAGATTTACAATCATGTTTACTGTATTTTGTAAAATACTGGCTCGACAATCAAATGTTTTACTTTAATTATAATAGACTATCATGTTTTACTCTAAAGAAATTCTGTACAGCCTGTGGCGATAACTGGAGAATTTTGACGCAGAAAGTACAAATACATTCTGAAGAATCTGCCTGAGTTCAGAAAAAGGTTTCATGCAAACTCAGGTTCCCCGGTGAACCAACAGCTAACGTGCCACACAACTGTAAGCAGTTAGCTCAATCCTAATTTCTCATAATAAAGCCACTGCTGTAACTGAGGAATGGCATTTTTACGTACGCTCTTTCTTACCTAGACAGATGAGACTGCTCAGGGCTGAAATAAGGTAAAGACCAGTAACACAGACATGTTGTAAGACAGGAAGATGGAAATAATGAAGTGTAAGTATGCGGCCAAGGGCCACATTGCTGGAAGCCTGATGATAAACTGTGCCGTCAGGCAAAAGAGAGTAACTCAGGTCTCTGAAAACTGTGTTCCTCTAAGACAGAGCTATTGAAAACAATGCGGAAACGGTCATCTACAGCTTTATACCGTTGCTGTTGGCCATTTTTTACCGGATTTGGTATGGAACAGAACCGCATACAATTCAGAATTTTTTAATCTGACTAGTTTTAGCAATGGCTTTAGAGTGTTTATGTTGCACAGCCCTCTTACCACCCCGTTTGGGCCACGTCTCATGTGCCAGAAGCTGGCAGGCACACTCAGCAAGGCGCAAACCAGATCTTGTTCCAGAGGCTGGTTTTGGTGACGGCTGAGCTGCCTGTGTGCCCCTGGCTGGGCTGTCTTGCTTGCGGAATGAGCAGATTCCTGTCGCCTGGCCAAGATGAATTTGGCAAGACATTTCCAGGGCCCTCTGAAGTGGTCCAATAAACACAAAATTTATCAAGAAGAAAAGCCAGTTAGTACCGTCTTCTGTCTTCATTTTAAAACTCCATCTGCCAGTAATTTTCTTAACCAATTTCAAAAGTAACCAGAAGAGATTATCTTTGGAAACATCAATCTTTTCCTGTGCACAGTAAATAAAATTGCAGGAATGCAGTTATGTCTTTTGATGCCTTTTTAAACACACTGCCTCCACTGAAAAGGCACTCCTGCCCGTCACGCCAAGCCCTGCCACCAGCCAGGCTGCAGAGCTTGGGCATCAGCCACTCGTCTGCCAGTTGGCCGGATTCTGTGCAGCCTACGAAGTTGTAAATACACTTTAGAAATTGAAACAGCAATGCCGAGGTGGAATGAGGGCTCTGTATGCAAGATACTGTATTTTGAGTGTTTTCATTGTATCCACTTGAATTTTCTAACTTTTTTCCCCCTCTGAACTGCTGTGGATTGTTTACCAGTCAGAGGAGTAAATAATCATCCACTAATCCCTCCACTGATACTTGGTTCCGATTCTGTCACTTACAGCAAGAGGAACTAGAGCCCCCTTGAGTTTAAAATCCCCCAAAAGTATGAAATCTGTGAGGAGCCAGCAGCCCAGCAGCTGAGTGAGGGCAGAAGGCGCCTGCACACCGGTGCACAGAACTAAAAATCTGTATGAAAACCAAGTAGCAGAACTTCTAAAAATCAAGTCATTGACATGAAAAGAGAGCACACCAAGGAGTATATAAACAAATCTTTATTTAAGGCTTTTCGACAGAACATAGTATTTAGCTTCCTCAGCAAAGGAAAAACTGAAAACCAAAAGGCAGACACAATACACGTGAAAATTCTTCTCATAAATGTATCTATACTCTGTGCAACTCGAGCGGGTACTTGTATTTTAACGGTTACCTACTGTGGCAACACATGCGCTGGTTATCTAGACGGTACGCAGCGTGACAAGTTCTTGAAAGCGTGTTCATCTAGGAGTAGTGGCAAGATTGCCTAGTTATTTAAATTCACTATAAACCGGTCTGCTTAATAGTCATTCCAATGATGCGTAGTCAGACGACAAAGTAAGACTGCTTTTGGACAAGCTATTTGGTATTTTACTGATTATGTAATAGTCATGTTGGCGGCCATTAATTTAGCTCAGTAACAAGAACAAAGTCAGGCCATTAAGTTAAAGCAACATCTACTCAAAAGGGGAGACAACACCTTTCTAAGTATCAATCACCAACAAATTTTACATGTAGAATATATATATATACACACAAACACATACACACATGTATAGAGGCGTTCACCTGAAGCTTTCAGTGCATCTGTGCTAAATAAAAAAAAAGAAGCACACATCAGTTAAAAGCAACTTTTTTTCCATGGTTCAGTAAGTGCAACTCATTGTTAAACGATTCCTTTAGCTACATTTCAGAGAATTTCTTCTTTTTTTGCTTTAGATTGCTTGCGTAACCTTTAACTGACCAGTAACTCCAGAAAATAAGGCTTTGACTCAGGAATGGATGAGCTGGAAAAGTTCAGTTAGGGTAGGTAATCCCCCCGGCGCAGAGGCACACGCCTGCCAGCCGGGAGGGCTGATGCTCTAGGGAAGCGCTGGCCCGCTCCCCGAGGCTGGAAGTACAATAATGCATCGAGAGCACAAGCACGCTACATAGCGTCCTCTGTTAAAGTACATCGGTGACCCTACAGATGCTCAAAGCCTGCATCCACCTGCTGGCACCGTGAATAATCGAGAGTGGCCAACAGAGCTGAGAACCGGTATGAACGCGAGTCCTGTACACACATTCCAAGCTCTTCCCTGCCCCGGGAAGCACCGCATTAGCAAATGTTCCTTTTTAGGCTAAGTGTTGCACAATACAATGTCGTTTCTTCCTGAGATAACTGGCACCCCACCAGACGTGTGGCAGGTTAACTGGCTGAATAAATTAACTGCTTTAAAATTATAAACTCTCCTTGTAAAGTTACGCCCTAACACAACAGCAGCTTTAGATTAAGATGGGAAAGAAAAGTTCTTCACCCCTATACTAATCCTATTTATTCAATTTATTCAGTTTCATTATGCTTCTAAATATTTTCTAATCTTGCTTTTGTAAGAACACAATTTTCTGAAACAACTACTCTTGTCAACGCTTTCTGTAAGAATAAGGAATTGTTTTTCCCTCACATTAGTCTTCAAGGGGAAAAATCTGCCTGAAGTCTTGCGTGTGGCTTCATACCCGCACAGACACATTCCAGAGACAGCGACATTTAAGCAAATTCACAGCAATCAGAACTCGGTGATAAAATTGTACCACGCTGTAACGCTTTTCATCAGTTAAAGTTTTGTAGCACTTTTACCCCTTCCAAACCAGCTTGCTAACGGAAGCGGCAGCCGCAGCCTCCTGCACACTATGGCACGGCACACGTTTCTTCCCGTGTCCTCGCTGGCAACACTTAGCAACCAACATTCAAGGGGCGCTGCTCGGCAAAAAAGCGTCATCTTTGCAGCGTGGATGTTCAATACAATCAGCAATCCAGCTACTTCTGTTTCAACTGTGCAAGTTTTTTGAAGGACAAAAGCAGCAGACTTTGTAACTAATAAATCTTAAGTGGAGACACGATATTAAAGGTTCTCAGATATTTTAATATTCAACGCTTCTAGCCTTTTCGAGCAATGTCAGACACTGAAACAAAGCAGTTTTGCCACCTGCCTCGAGTACTTCACTTTGCATTTCGCCTCCTCGGGTCAAGGGTTGCATTTCAATAATAATAAATAGCTACACAGCGAAAAAGTCTAATTTAATCAGAAAGTGGGTTTATTGTACTTCATAAAAAAGAAGAAATGCGAGTTCTTGTACATTTATACTTAGCTGTTGCCTACCTGAAGTGCACGAAGGAACAGACTAAGACAATTATTGAAAATTGTGTACTGTCACATTCCGTCAGCATCCGGCCATCCCTTCAGCTTTCTTGGCCACGTGTTCAAATGCAAAAGCAATTACCATCCGTTGCAAATTAACCTTGAAACCTCTCATCACCTCACCGCACCTTCCAGACCATCACCTCCAATGTCACCAGCACAACGAGGCCGTCAGTTAGCTTCTTGGCTGTCCTCAGAGATGCAAAAGCATTCCAAGGGAAAACAAACACCATCAAAACATTTTCACTCTGCTAACGCTCCACCAGCCTCCATCTCTATTTAAGAAATGTTGTTCAGGTTCAACGCAGTCGTCGTTTTCAGGGAAGGAAAAAAGAGAACAAAGCCGTAAGTCTTCCTACGCCCCCCTTAATCTGAGTATAATCTGAGTATTTCACTTTATTTTAATGCTACAATTTCTTAAATACGTTTCCTGTGACTGTGCTTTACTAAGTATACCTATTTATGTATCTACCCACGTACCAATAGACTAATTCAATAAATTAAAGCTCAAAACACTAACTGGAAGCACAAGAATATTTACAAACTGCAATAAATTAAAGATTAAAATCTGCACGATATTAAATAAGAATCTCAAAGACCTCGTCAACTACAGACAATTGTCAATTTCTTCTGTGCCGCTACCCAAGGGCAGAAACATGTTTACAGGACAGAAAGAGCAGAGTGACAAACACCAGGCTGGTCACCACTCACCCGGCACGTACCGAGCGCAGGTCGGGGTGATGGCACAGGGGCAGACCCAAGGGTTTCAGCCTTTCGGACTGAACACCCGTCCTGGCTGGGGCTGGGGTCACAACGTCCCGTACACAGCCCCCAAACCCCACAGTCAGGCACGCTTGCCTGCCAGCGTCTGCTACAGGAGCTGGAATAGGCACCCACGCTCACCACTCCCTTATTGATAAGGCATGCCTTGGGGAAAAAAAACCACCACCACAAACAAAAAGCCCTAACGTTTCACTAGAAATTACTATCAGAAAATAGAACTCAAAACAAAGATTCACTCTGGCACAGTAGTTTGGCCACAGATGCAGAAATCAAAATTACCCATTTCCTCAGCGCTGTATGGAGTGGAGGGTATTTCCAGGGCTGTTCTCCACCACAGGAGACATGCTAGGGAAATACAATTTTAGATCATAAAAGGGGAAATTCATCATGCTGTATGCTCTCACTTTATCTTTTGCCAAAGCATAAAGCATTAGTAGGAGATGAAATTGGTTTTGAAGAAAAATCCCAAAGCCGAGTGGTTGTGAACGCCGAGGATCATCACTCACCATACGTGCCTTTTTTTTTTTTTTTGAGAGCTGAAGTTTTTTGGGGTTTTTTTGTTTGTTTGTGGGGTTTTTTTGGTTTTTTTTTTGTTTTTTTTTTTTTAAATAGAGATATCACTTAAGGGAAGTGAAAGAGAATGCCAAGAGCGGGACAGTACACTTTGTCCCAGTAGGAACTAGGTAAGAACAGCTGCTCTCCCAGGACCGCAGTTACACAACCATCACAGTGACCGCAGAGAAGGTGTCGCACTGAAAAAGCGTAAGACGCAGGAGATGATGTAATGGACAAAGCTTTTTAAGTACGGCCCCCAGGTTATCAATGCTTCTCCTGCATATACATGTCCACAATCCTCTCTCAGCTGCCGATTCCAGTTTGTTTTTTTGTTTTTTTAAATAGAGATATCACTTAAGGGAAGTGAAAGAGAATGCCAAGAGCGGGACAGTACACTTTGTCCCAGTAGGAACTAGGTAAGAACAGCTGCTCTCCCAGGACCGCAGTTACACAACCATCACAGTGACCGCAGAGAAGGTATCGCACTGAAAAAGCGTAAGACGCAGGAGATGATGTAATGGACAAAGCTTTTTAAGTACGGCCCCCAGGTTATCAATGCTTCTCCTGCATATACATGTCCACAATCCTCTCTCAGCTGCCGATTCCAGACTGCGATATGACCGCTATTGGGTTCTGACCTGCAGGTGCAATGGAAGAGCCTCTGCAAGCTTCACTGCACTGAAGTCTACCAAATCAAAAATTAAGGATGTGTGAATTAAGGCAGGTAACCATCTATTAGAAGCATCCCTACTTGAAAAATTTAAGCATCTGCCCACAGGACTTTCTCTATCTCGGGCTGAAGGATTATCAAACCCCATGAAACCCATGAAAGGTTACTGCTGACCAAAGAACTTCTAGAACCTCCAGCTACCTGCTGTGGCTTTACAAATTGCAAGGGGCAAGAAACTCGCCTGTAAGAATTTGAAGAAACATATACAGCTGGGGGTTACATTTTGTTCAGTTAAAATTAATCATGGTAAAACTTCAGAGACACCAGTATCTTTTAGTAGCATTTTTCAAAAATGAGCTCAAGTGTACAAACAAATCGTGACTGATCCTGGTAATTCAGTCTTTACCTAGGAAGGCATTTCTTTGCAGGCAAGTAACAACCAAAGGTTTACAGAGTCTCTCCTGTACAGCTTTACATCCTTTTCCTAGGCGCTTCCTTGTATTCCAAGGCGTTTGCAGCCCCGGTTTACAGACACTTTATACTAGAGTAACTACTTCAGCTCCGACATGAAGGCAATTATAGCGGTAAAAGTCTCTGTGCTAGCGCACAGGCATCAACAGTTTTGTACTGGTGGTGTTAAGCAAGCTGTTTGACCTCAGCCTGCAGGATGGCAACACAGCACAATTCCTGCATTTAGGCTAGGTCTCCATTCTTGGCACTCCCCTGACGCTGAAACTACTTATTTGCCATTCTCTGTCGGGCAGATGATCAGCAGCTATCTGTAAAATTAAAAGGCGCTGAAACCATACAATTCCTCTTGTAATCTAGTCTTCCAAAGGAATAAATACACACACACTGGTACAGAAACTCTCCATCTGAAAAACAGCTCAGATGAGTCATCTAACTAAACCCTGAAGATACATGTGAGAATATTTTTGTAAGCTAAGGTATTTTTATACTACTCTGAACGCACCACAGAACTGAGTCAGTAGACTCCTTAATAAGGAACCTGGTAAGTTTCACAAAGTTTCTGACAAGTACAGTGAGGAGACAAGAGCTAAAAGCAGTAAAGGACAGGTCCAATGCGACCAATTTTCAGTTGGCCAAACACCTTGCAACACATTTTCAGAATTCTTGTGATACAGATGAAAAACAGCGTTAAGTTGGAAAGACTACTGAATTTAAAGAATGTCTATGTGAACTAGAACTACACAACTTACTTGTTTCTGCAGATGGAGGTGGACTTTTTTTTCCTCCCTATTTTTATTCAAGCGAATGTAGTGATGAAGCTGCATGCTATACTGCTGAAGCCAAAAACAAGTGCAGAAAGAGTAAGGTTGTCCCCTACTATTACCCGACTTGACATTACACAGCACCTCCTTCATTTGTCTCGCCTGTTCAAGTCTTTTCTCACACTGCTAAAATAATGAGGATAGTACAGACCTCCAAACCCACAAAGCATTTTAAAAGCCAGTTTCTCAGGATGTTTAAGAGATAACTGTAAGACTGAACTTGGACCAATGACTTCTCAGGACACACACAGCCCTGAAGTTTACAATGCACACTGTGAAAGACACGCAATACCCTTTTCTATTTCCAAAACCTTACGTGTTTTTCTATCGTAAGATCTCCCCTGTAATTTGGTTACTCGGAGGAATTTAAGTTTTGGGAATGAGGGAGACAAAATTCTATTTTATTGACTTATTCAGAGGGTTCCGATTGAGCCTGGTGTCTTCACCAGGCAACAGATACAAGGTTCTCCAGATTCCAGTATCTTCTTGAGAGGAGAAACTCACATTAACGAACTCTTCAACATGTCTCTCCTCTCATAATCATTGAATTTGGGTTTTTAAATGTGTGCATTGAATCCAGTAAAACAAATGTCACTATCTTGTATGGAACATAAAGCACGCAGAAAGGCAGGTAGTTTACAGGAATTGGTCATTTTTGTTGAGAGGGATTTAAAATCTTCAAGTTGACTTACAAGTATTAGGCTAACCTCCTAACAACTCCAGCACATTTATTTCAGCAATTACTTTTCATACCAAATGTGAAGAGACCCAAAATATTATTTTCCAATACACATACAAAAATAGTTTCTTACTCTCTCAACCAGTTTATGAAGTTCCTTTTGCTGCTCACCAGCCAACGTCCATCTAACCGAAGTAAGTTAGTACAATCATTTGTATGGGCTGTCTGCACACCGGACAGGGTTTGTTCCTCTTCTTAAGTTTCCTTGCGCACGTAAAACATGACATGAGGTGTCCCGTTTTGCCATGTACTATGCAGCCATTTTTAGGTCTGCTCTGACATATGACACAGGGCTCTATGCTGGTAACAGGCAGACTGGATTCCATGCTTTCCTCTTTGTCTGCCATTTCTCTCTTCTCGGGTTCCTTATAGTCCTCCTGACTGCTACAAAACATGCTGCTTGACGTCGAAGGCTGAGAATAATCTTCACTTTCCTGAGACTCAGAAATTTGTACTGCTTTATCCTCATTCTCCTCTACAGCTGGTTCTTTATCTTCAGTCATTTTCACTTTCTTGCAGTCAGGAACATCAAAACCTTCTTCAGACTCTAGGGGGAGGGAACTTTCTAATTTGCTCTTTACCAATTTATCGCTCTTTTCATCTGGAAGCCAATCCTCACGAAGGGCCCAGCATCTGTGGCAATGTCGTGGCAGCGGAGGATTCATTTCGCTACATTCGGGACACTTCCAATAATCCTTCAGTGAATTAAAGGTTGGAACAGCTTAAGCTACTTGGAATGCTTACAATCCAAGCATTCAGAGATTATAAACAATTTATTACTGCCAAAGTAACAGTTATCTTGAGCTATCAACTTGTATACAAGTTAAAAATTCCATTCAGTGTTTGGTCCCATTTTATGATTCTGAATTAAAATAGTCTGATTTTTAAAAGACTCTGACTTTCCCTCTTCTTGCAGTAGATTTGTGAAATAAAAATAGAGGTAGAACAATAAAGACTTATTATTTCTTAGGCAAAATTGAAGAAACCAGACCACAAAAGTCTTCAGAGAACCTCATGAAAAACTTTGTTCTGATAAAATGGTCACCATTCCCGGTATTTCAACAATGGACTTCCGAAATGGAAACTATTCAAGATTAAAGGGACATTTAACCTGGGATGCTAAGCTGTTGGTGTGCAAAACGGCCGGGTGAGGGCACTCTGACACAGTAGTATTAGAGAACAGAAAACATCGGCCATTTTGGGAGGGGGGGGAAGGCTGCATCACTGTCTGAGGTTACTCAATACGCTACACTGAAAATATGCCACTATCTCATTAAAAACATGCTTCATTTCTAAGGAGAAAGACCCTTCTTTGAAATAATCTATGCCGTATGGGGAATGAGAACAGAAAACAAACCAAAACTTATTTAGAAGATTCGAAGCACTTTTTGGTTTGAGTCCTAAATAACATCAGTGACATCAAAAGCTTCAGAGACCAATTTTAATTCCTAAAAATAATGTTCAGACATATTTTTCCATACATAAGCAGTGCTATGTTTTTAGATGGTGGCTAGCCCTATGTTTTACACACAGTAAAGTCCCTCAGTCCTACAGACCATCAAGGGACTGGAACATTTCAGACAGTTTTGGACAACAGCTTTGTTCAAGCTTCGACTGTGAAAAGCAAGTATAAATAAAAAGACGCACTGCTTTTTAGTTCTAGTGTGTGCTTTTTTCATCTATGTCTACATACTTTGCCTCAAACCCCCAAATTTCTTCCCACACTTCAAGAATGGTCTCACAGAATTTAGAAAAAGCCTCCAAATCTATTAATTTTATTTAAATCTATTAATTTTATTAATCTATTAATTTTACAGTACTGTTCTGAAAACAGGTTTGCCTTCACATCTGTATGCTACGGATTCCTTCATTCAGGTTGGACAATAAAACCAGGTATTACGATTTATAGGAAGATTTTTTTAAATATACATGACTAAGTTTTTTGGTTTGTTTGGGTTTTTTTTTTTCCCCCATTTTGTGAAAAAAGCAAGATATTTAATAGTCACATGTTCAGTAGTTAAAATATTGTCTTGGAATCTTCAAGCATACAAAAAAAAGTCGATTTAATTAAAAAAAAAAAAAAGTAACTGGTAACAATAGAATTCATCTATACTCCTTGATCTACTCTGTCAATTCACCCAACTTATGATGCTTTGCCAGTCAAGTTTTTACTCACAGCTAGAGAAATCTCTGGATCTTCGTCAAATGAATCAGCATCACTATCTTCATCCTGGTAAATAGTCAGCTGATATACCTGGTTTAAATAAATAATAAAAAAAAGTATTGATATAACTGTTTTTTGGCATTCAATTAAAAATCTGATAGATTTTTAATCTGATAGATTTTCTGATAGACTTTTAATGAAATGTAATAAATAGCGCATGTAAGTTAATTTATGTTAGCAAGTAACTCCACAAAATCTGATGACTGGTTTAGGGGAAAAGAATTCTGTTCACACTTGTAACACTCAGTTTGAAGAAAAACATAGACCAGACAGGTAGAAGGCACCACTTTCTAGAATAGAGGTGATCCCTCCCCTCTGCTCAGCACTGGTGAGGCCACACCTGGAGCAGTGTCCAGTCCTGAGCTCCCCAGTACAAGAGATACGGCGCTCCTAGAGACTAGAGAGAGTCCAGCAAAGGGCCATTAAGATGATTAAGGGATTGGAGGAGCTCTCACATGAGGAAAGACTGAGAGAGCTGGGACCGTTCAGCCTGGAGAAGAGAAGGCTCAGGGGGGATCTTATCAATGTATATAAATACCTGAAGGGAGGGTGTAAAGCAGATGGAGCCAGGCTCTTTTCAGTGGTGCCTAGTGACAGGACCAGAGGCAACCGGCACAAATTAAAACACAGGAGGTTCTGTCTGAACATCAGGAGACACTTTTTTTACTGTGAGGGAGACCAAGTACTGGCACAGTGCTCAGTTCTGAGCAGCTGTGGAGCCTCCATCCTTGGAGATATTCAAAAGTCGTCTGGACATGGCCCTGGGCAATCAGCTCTGCTTGAGCCAGGGGGGTTGGATAAGATGACCTCCAGAGGCCCCTTCCAACCTCAACCATTCTGCAATTCTCAACACTGCTGCTGGGGGCAGGGGCACACCTCAAGCCTTTCTTCCTCCAAATCACTGTCTTGTCTCAGGGTGCAGCTCCACAGCACTGTAAGCCAGTGTACATCAGTACAGTCAGTCCCATTCAGCCCTTCAGTACCACAATCACGTATGTCTCTGGCAAATTCTGCCTCTGGTACTTAACCAATCTTGCCATGAGCTGATTCACCTCTTTGAAGTAACAGAAAACTAACCCAGAAAAAAAAATAATTTCCCACTTCAGTCCTGACATTCCAGATATCCAGATCTCTTGAAATGATGGTAATCACAATTTTACTGTCTTCTTGCCTCCTAATGAAAATTTCTAAAATTGTTTCAGCATCTCTATGAAACATTTATATTCATGGAGGCAAATGATTCAGAAATACCCCTTTGAGAGTTACCAGGAAAGTTTTCATTATTGAAAGTGTTGTCAAAGCTCAACACATACTTCTATAATTAAACATGCAGGAATAGACTCAAGTACACATGCTGCCATCGACTCCAACAGCTAGTGACTGAAGTCAAACAGACTCTTCCAGACTGTCAAGAGTCTGTTTCAGAGCCTATGGAAAGCCTTAGCACCATTCTGGTTACTGCCTGGTGGGTGTATAATGGTGACCCAACTGCACAGGCATGTAATTTGATTTAATGAACAACTGGGTGCAGTTTGTGACATCGCACACACAGTCCTGAAATAAACCTGAAGAGTTACTACTTCTTGTTGGAATCTCAACATGAAGTATTCCTGTAAGTTTCCTTCCCCCTCTCACCCCTCCAAGTCAAAAAAACCCCAAACAAAACAAATATGTACCTCATCATCTTCATCTGTGAGCTCCTGTCCTTCTTCATTATGACTATAATCTTCTGAATAAATAGACTCAACTTCAAACTCTACACTGAACTGGTCTGAAACAGAACTGTGGTCAAACCAATCAGAGTTTTCGCTTAATGAACTGGCATCAAGATCCTGAAAAAAAGAGAAAGAAAGTACACATTCAGCCTCACTAGTCCAAATCCATAACCATTACTGTTAAGACAGCTCGTAAGATAAAACCGAACTACTCAGTTTAATTAGCTATGGAAGAAGTGACACCACCTGCTGTTAGACAGAACATCTTCTATGAGACAAACGAATCATAGGCAGGTCAAAATAAAGCCAGATGTGAAAGCCTTTTGTCAGCTCTGTAATAGAGGCTGCAGTCAACCTACAGCCAGCTTGAAGACTACTGCTACTATTTCACAAAGGCTCTCTTAAGAAGTGAAAGAACAGATGCAAGAAGATGCTGTCTTTTGGCGGCATGTCATTAAATTCTCTACTCTCATCAACTCTGTTAACCTTCATTTGAGACAGTGGCTAAACAATTATAAAATAGCAAGAGTGAAGATACAGTATTAGTTCTGTCAATTCAGAATACAGTATGTGACTAGGAATACTGTTAGTTTAGCTCTTCATGACTTAACCTAACCACAGATAATTTGCCTCAAGTGTTTGCTGAAAACAACAATAAAAAAACCAGTAAAGGCTTGGAAAATTAATACAGCACATCATCAGGGCACTACTATGTACAGTTACCAAAGCCGTACCGGAACTACCAGATGCCCAGAAGCACCAACTATTCTGAATTATGGAACACCTGTGACTGCTTTTCTTCTCTTAGCATTCTAAGAAACACTTATTTTAAAACACAAAAATATATCTCACATTTTTTCAATACTGCGCCTAGCAGCAAGAGTCTTTTTTTTTTTTTTTTAAAGAATATTCAGAGTTAGTATTTTTAACGATTTCACTTCGGCTTTGTCAGCAGATCTATGAAAGACCCCACTCCACCCACACACCAACTTTTCTTTCAGCCTCTTTTCTCTCCTCAGACACCACTGAAGGCACTGCTGCTTTTAATTAAGAACATGGTGTTTTAAGATGCATATTTGTACTTGTGGTATCTGCAAAATTTGTACCACAAAAATATGTATTTTGACTTACAGGAATGGAGAGAGAATCTGTTGAATCACTGCTATTGCTTCTTTCACGGCACAGACCACTGACTACACACCATGAGAGGCTTTCATCAAACGTCAACGAAATGCTGTCCGACTTGTGTCGTTTTCTTCTGTCACTATGCAGATCGTCTGAAGCATTTTCTTCTGGGCACATTCAAGAATTTTTATTACTCCAAAAACATCTATGCAATGTGCAGTTTTGAACATTCTTAACAGAAGCTTAAAATATAATTTACTTATATAGGAATTTAAGAAAAATAAAGTCATTCAGTATTATTTTATGGGGAAAAAAGTAAAGGCACCAAAAACTTATTTAAAAAAAGACACAGTAACACTGAGAAACATGAGAAGCGTGAAACATTCCTGACACCAGTATTTCAGGGTTTGGCTTTCCCCACTTGTCCCATCAGTACAGCTTGTAAATGGCAGTCTCCACATGCAGGAAATAAAATAGTTGCGAATTTGGAAGCATTCTTACTCCACTTCACACATGACACATTAAACCCCTTCTAATTTTAAAGGAATACAGTTAGGATCTTAATTGTCCTAGCTCCCTCTACAGTCAGTAGACAGAAAGGCACTTTCAGAGGGCTTCTGAGCCCATCCCAGAATTTGCAGGGAGACACAGCAACTAGCTCCCATGTCACATGCATACAAAGGACCTCATGCTAGGCAAGATAAGTTCAGGTTCAAGTTTCAGATACCTCAACTAATGTATCAGTTAACAGTTGCACTATATATAATTGTATTTACTCAACAGGATTTTTGTAACAAACCATTATGACTTTCACCACACACTAGCAAGAAAATCTTCAAGGCTACTATGTAAAAACTGAACTCTGAAAGCATTGCTTTAAGCTGTGCTTATTAAATATGCTTGGTTTGAAGGCAAAAAGACAATGCTTTTTAAATACATCACGTTTTGAAACAACCACCTGCAGCGGCATAAGGAGTAGGGGGACAGCATTTGAGGGGTAGGTAAGTCAAAATTCAGCTCCACTGACTTTTAGAGTGTTTGGTAAGAAACAATTTTATTTAAAAAGGCATTGCAAAGTCAGTATGTAAGCGCAGCGGAGTGAAAACTCCCCAAGAGGCCTGACAACTTGGTTCAACAGACCTCAGTAAGAGCCTGCTGCCTCCCTACAGGTGCCTTTTGCACCCACCCTCTATTGCCCAGCTTCTCCCTTGCCTTGCAAAACACACCCTGACAATCCACGAGTCTTCAAGTCTTGAATCTTTCATTGTAAAAGAAAAGAGAACAAAACACTTGTACATACTTTGAGACTTCTCTTACTTTCCCTTGGTGCTTCTTGGCTCAGCCCCTCTCTTTTCTTTTTTCGCCCTGAGAGCCCCACCAAATTTGGTGCCCCCAGGCCCAAGGGTTGCTCCTGTCCATCGTTGTCCTCATTTAGTTGTCATGGCTCCATGCTGTACTGATACTGTATCACCAAAGGGTTTATATACATTATAAAAGGGGCCCAAAGGGGGCCGCTACCATCCCAATTTAACAAGAATAGTGGTTTAAAAGGAAGATTTCCTATAAATTAGAAAAAAAGTGTATATAAAAACACTATATTAAAAGAACTTTTAAGGTTGTAACAAACTAATAAATGGATGCAAAGACAAGAGTTAATAATCAAACCTACAATAAGTAAGCACAACACAGGACCTTATGTGCTCTGGGTCATGCCTAAATATTACAGGTTGTGATGTTTAACCGAGACTTTCCATCCTTTCACCAGTTTTTGTTACAACATTAAAATGTTCTTTTAATTTAGTGCAAACCGCTCAGCAACGCAGCACAGTTTCTGGACTGACTAACATAACAGTGGCCTACGATGAACACAAAAAAGACACTACACAAAAGCTGAGGAACTGAAAAATGTTCCCGAGCAACTGAAGAAAAAGTTCTATGCAGCGACAGAAGGTTATCACTGCCCAGGTAATTACAACCGTCAAGTCATGAGGTAACAGAAGTAAGTGATGGAACAAACTAATGTAAGAAATTCCACAGAATAGTATTTAAGTAGAACTGTAGAGAACACTTCCATTGAGAAGTTTGAAGTTATTCAGGTTTATGCTGACCAGCTTGTTATTTGCTAATTATTGGAGGAAACATTCCACATTTTGAAAATGTATTTGCCAGTGATTACTGAATAACCACAGTAAGGAGAAAGAGGAGACAAATACGATGCTTAAGTCACCAAACTTTTAAAAAAAGTGCTTAAGGAATGGTCAGGTACCTAAATATATCCAAAATCATCCCATGTTACTACCAGACCTTTGATGTCTTTGCCACCAACTGAAATCCAATGAAAACCGCTTTTAGAGAGCGAACAAAATGTAAGATTTTGTGGCTGTCTACAGAGGGAACTGAAATGAATTTGACTACATCAGCCTATTAAAACAAAAGTGTTCTCATCACAAAGACAACACAACTGATTAAGTCCTGCTGATGTGAACAAGTTTAACAGATCTGTGGAACAAGTTATTCCATCATCTTGCTAACAGTTCTAGAGATCTGAACTGTAACATGATACTGAGGCAATGCAAGGAATTGCATATTTCTTCCAGACTGAACATTTTGTTTTAGATAAGCAGAGAAACATGCATAGTATTTCACAGCATGTTTCAAACTCAGTAAGGCAACAGAACGTACTTTTTTTCCCTAAGTGGCCATGCTACTGAAAGCTCTGCATCATAAATCTGCACATACCAGATTCACTGTGCGTTCTCCTCCTAGAAGATGTAGTTGGTCGGGAAGTCACATTTGATGAAGTCTGCTTCTCTTCTAACTCTTGCATAGATTCCTGGTTAACAGAAATACTGAGTAAGCCTGAGCACAAATATGAGGTAAAAGGCTAGAATCAACTAACTGCATCTAAACCATTGACATCATCACACAAAACTAAACAGAATTTACTTACATCTCAGAACATTTATTTAAAGAAAAAAAAAAGAAATCACCTTTAGAACATTTTCTTCTTCAAGCTGAAATCTGGCATCATCCTCAGGTGTGTCAGCAAGCATAGAGTCTGAAACCAAACCAAACCACACCACCATAATACAGCACAGCAGAAAAATTCAATTTCAGGCTCAAAAACATTAGAGTAAAAGCAAAGGAGAGAAGTTAACTGCACACTGCATTTACACAGTAAATTCTAAACAGAACTTACTATCCAGACGTTTTGCAACAATGGAAAAATAACCATTCCTTTGCTTTTCAGATGTGTGCAGCACCTTCCCTGTAACATTACTGAAGTGGGAAAGCGGGGAGGAAGAAGAAATCTCGACTGCAAAGCAGCTCAGAATATTATAAATGCCTTCAAATGAAGGCTGTGCATTAGCTGGGATTCTGCAGATATGAAAGAATACAGGCAGAAAATATTTTACACTTCTTCCTCTCCAAAGTATATTTTACTAGCTATCATCTTATGGAAACACTGAATTAAAAAGACATTAATAGAAGAAAAATTAAGTTCATTAAATAGAAGAAAAGTTAACTGTTGTTAGTTAGATATGCTTGCTACCAGACTGACCCTGAATTAATAAGTTATCTTTCAAGAAAAGAATTTGAGAGATAATTTAAGTTTGCAAGCATAACAATAAGGGGTAATAGAGCATGTTTCCCATCTTCAGCAGCTGAACACTTGCCTTCAGGAAGAGTCAGAAACAAATGTATTTCTAATATGGATTTAGAAGCCAATTTACAAAATGGCTTCCATTGTTTAACTTCTGGTTCACTCCTTGTATTAGCCAAAAATTACAGCTATATTGAGCATTTTTATACTGCAGGAAAGATGACTGTATGTAACGATTCTCCATTTATGGAGTGGCTATCCACAAAGTTACCACAAAGCTACTTTTTTTAAGTATACAGACCTTTTAAAAGATGACTCAGTATAGCTGAGGGTGACCAGTTCTAGATGTACTCCACATTCAGTTTTGAAAATTAAAACAGAACACTAACAGAAAGAATAAAAAGCATTTGCCCTGACTTCACTGCTGGCACCAGTTCAAGAAGCTAATTTTTGATATTAAACTTTTTACGTTGTTGAGGGCTTTATCTGTAAGAAATACAAACAAACGACTAACTTTTCAATTTAGTCCTCTTTGTGTTCAGCTCTGATTGTGCTTGTTCTGGTTCTAGTCAGACAAAACTACCCAAATGCTGTTCAGATTTTTCTTCTTTTTTCTCACCCAGAAGAAACAGCGTTTGCTTTGATTCACTATTTGTGATGGCTCTGGACAGTAGTGTGTAAAGCCAAATAGCTAATTATGGAGAGATCGATGTTATCTGATCGCTACATGCAAGATGCATTAAAGTTATATTTTCCCTACTACTATTTCCCAAAACAGAAGGTCGTCCCAAACTAGCTTACCTTGTTGATTGATTGCTATCAGATTTCTGGAAATCATTGAATATAGTCTCCTTAAATGGGGATAAAGAAAGAGATGTTGCAAGTTAGCTACATGTAATTATAAAAGAGAGCTTACCATCTTTGAAGATGCAAAGAGTTAAAAAAGGCCATACGCATTATGTTCTCCGTTATTTCACAACCAGACTCTCAGAAAAAAATCCGATTTTACCTGTGTTCTTTTACTGAAAAGCTTGTTACTCCAAATAAATCCCCCAGGAGATCATTTGCACAGTGTACAATATGTTGCTGTTTTTCATCATATAATTGTTTAGACATAATATATTGTCCAAGATAGAATATTACCTGTAAAATAAATAACATACACAGACATTAAATACCCAGGTTCTGTTGTTAAGTTTAAGTGTAAGAGAAAACACATTAAATTCATTGAGATTTGCTCTTCTGACTTTGATTGCCTAAAACTCCCTCTGAGCTGCAGATTTTGATCTATCGTTCCCCAAGTACTCTGCTATTCTACTGACCACCAGATACTTTTGTTCAGATTTTGAGAAACTTGCTAAACTCCACCTAACAAGTCAGCAGGAGAATAAAAACAATACCTTGTCCCAATATCTTCTAGATAAGCTGTGAACTACACTGCCCCCCATTCACCCAAAACAAAAGAACAATCTATCTGTATTCACTGTAATCTACCTTTAGTGATCAAAAGTTCTCACCTCCTTCATAGTAAAAGTGTCCTTTTCTGCACCAGCTAACTTCAACAACTTCAACAATAGTGGCTTTGGTTTAACCTGTGTGGGGAAGAAGAAAAACAGTATGCACCAATTATTCACCAAACAAAAGACTATTTACACAGGTTGGCTTCCTCCTTCTGTATTAACCTAATACACAAACACACAACTACATTAAAACCTATCCACATCCAAGTTCTCTACTTTGCAAAGCTAAACTTAAAAGAAAATAACACGAACCAAATCATACTGAACTTCTCGTACATTGTACACCTTAGCTCAAACCCCAATCTTTCATTGGTACATACAGATTCCTCGACTTGAGCTACAGGATTCATTTGGTGGTTCCAAGTACAGGGCAGGGTCCTGGGGAATTCAGCTTCACTCCTTCAGTCATTACAGTGGCTCCCAAAGGGGAGGGAGGGAGGCAAACGGACCTTTGTGACTAACTGTCAGGTCTAGAGTGCAAGTCACAAAGCAAAGCACTACTGGTCCACCTCTTTCCTAGTCTCTTCCTGTGACAGTTTCTGGGGCTGTGGTTTTGCATTTGCCAGCTGGGCTGCTTTACCTCTGAAGACTTTTCTTAGCTGGCAGAAGCACACCCTGTCCTTTTCATCGTATTTCAATCACTCCTATCTCTGCAATGGCCTCCCACCCACCCACTGTGCCAGCAGAGTTGTTTCTGCAGCCAGTCTATGACAATTTTTGAGGTAGAGGAGGGAAAAGTTAAATAAATAAATAAATAAATCACTTTCCCCCCTCTTTTTTTTTTTTTCCTTCTCGCCAGACCAGTGTCTTGATCGCATTCACTGCACTGTTCCACAAACAGCTCTGCCAGTACCAGTGCAGGAGATGAGAACAAGCTGCAGAGGCTGCCACAACTGCAAAGAAAATGCCTGTAGAGCCACTGACGGTTCCCAGTGCAGTATATTCTAGTACTGCCAACTTTAATAGCAGCATAATTATTCTAAGAACAGGCTAATATTTAGCTATCCTAATATATTCCCTCAAATAAGAAAAGATATTACAGAAAAGAAACGTTTTATAGGAAAGTGTGAATAATTTAAGTCGTCATAATGTGATGCTACCATCTGCAGTCAGATCTGCGTGGCAGAAGAACTTCATACTTGCAGGAGTCGGGGAGAGAGGGAATAAATGCTTAAGGGAAAGGACGGGAACTTCCCTACATTCCACTTCAAGTATCTGCTAAAACCAACGTTAAGTTTTAGTGCATTAGCAAGAGATTAGTTGCAAGAATCACACATAATGAAAACAATAAACAAGCTTGTGGACAACGTTAGATGTCTATTCACCCCTTCCTAAGTGCTGAATTATTTAAAGCATGCGGCATATATTACAGTTTCACAGAGGAAGCAAACAGTAACTTATTAAACTACTAATGACAGCTGAGCATAGAAAGGCAAAGCACACTTTCAGATCTCTGAATCCACATCTAGACCCACGGGTTCAGATCCTTTTACTCCCCAGCCCTCTCTCCCCGACTCCTGCAAGTATGAAGTTCTTCTGCCAGCAAATGAGATTTTTCAGGACTATTTTGAAATAAGAAAATGAAAAAAAAAAAAAAGAAGAAAAAAACGAAAAAAAAAAATCAACTTTGAACAGTCTGCTGTTCGGTTTACTTCGCTTTTTTGAAGTTCTGCTATCAGTCCACACTTTTAAGATTTACCCTTCCACAAAAAGTAATCCAGTTCAACCGTCATTGTACACATGCCGTTTTTAACCCACATCTCAGGTGTAACACATAGGCTTCCATCCTCAGGAAAACTTACATAGAAAGTCAGGACAGCACGACTGTCACTGTATCATGGGAAGCCTAGATATGCAAAGCCATAAACACAAACGAAGACTCTTATTACAACTTGCTTATGAATTCCAATAGAGGAGAAAATGAAAATGCCAAATTCGAAAACCTTCAGTTGTAATGACAAGATTATTTCACAAACAGTGTAAGTTTTGCACAACGGAGATCTTTCATAACTCTTCAGTTACGAACTGTTAACAATTTCCACCACAAAATACTTACCATGATCAAATCGGACCATAAGATCCTTTTTATTAAAAGAAAGCAACTTGACCATCAAAGGTCTCCAGGAAACAGTCTAAACCTAAACCATCGCCCTCAACTCTCAACCACGAATGAGAAAGATTTGCTTCACAATTACAGGATCAATGAGTGACCACCCTCACCGGATTTCCTGGCTTTTCTCTAACCATCGCTCGCTGAGCAAAGTGGCCCTTCTGAATTAGCAGATAAAAACTCTGCAAAAAGCATGAAAAACTCGCGCATCCAAGAGAGCTACTGACCAGCACCTCTTGCTCCGAAGTGGTGACAGAAGAGGCATCCGTAAGGGACGACATCTTGGTATTGCACATTTGCCTGCAATTAAAGGGAGAGCAACCTCAAAATGTGGAACACAGCTGCACAACCCGGGCTCCCGCCCGCGCAGGGACACCCCAGGGCAGGCGCAGGGCCGCGCTCCGCAACCCTGGGGGGTGCAGGCGCCACCCCGGCGGTGCCCACTCACCTCGGTGCCCTTGTCCAGCCCACACGCCGGACTCCGGCGGCGGGTATCTGGGCCGAGTCGGGCCGGGCCGGGCCTTATATAGCGCTGCCAAGAGGAGGCAAGTCGGGGCTTAGCTCCTCCGCCGGCCACGGCCCGACATGCCTGAGCATGACCAGGAGTGGCGGCGCTGCCGAGTCACCGCGGGG